GGATGGCTATCCTTGGTGTTTTGAAACAAAAGATCCCTTTTTTATCTAAAGTCAAACTTTTTTTTTAAAAGAAAGCTAGGAAAAATACCAATCATATCTGTGAGAAAAGATATCTTTTCAGAAAAAAAAGAAGTCCGAATGGATTATTTAAAAGTTCAGAACATCTAACTGTAGGTCATTTCAAAGGCTGTTTAAAATAGCTGTGGCTCAGATTACTATTTCAGCCTCAGCATTGGCCTAAATGCTTGGTCAATAAGTACTGCATCACAGTTTTAATCTGGCAGGTGTGATCTCTTAGTGTCCCCTAGAAATGCTAATTAGTCACATTTAATTAAATTAATATATTATTGTAAACCACATTTGCATTTCTTTTAGAAGTATCTTTATACAGAACATAAGCTCATGTGTAAAATCTAAAGCCGGTTCATTTTTGTTTGGATTTAATATCCGTTTGTGTGCTTTTTGCTTCAATAACCACATTGTTTTTTGTAAGACCAAGGTGTGCCTCAAGTCTTGCTTGATACATTAGTCGTACTTCAAAATACTAAAGTTATGAACATATTTTACATTGCTAACTATGTCGGGGGATGACTAAAGTTCAATAACAGAGGCAGAAGAAACATACTGTGTAAATATGGTGGGAAAGGGCAATGTCCATGAATTTAAAAACTGCCTTAAGGTATATCTGCAGATTGAAATGGTTTGAGAGTAATACAGTTGACAGAAAATTTAGTACTAAGATTTCCTATACTACATTTGTTTGATGTATCATATGTGTGCTTGCAGGCACACAGAAGAGAAAGATCGGGAGTGTTTTGTTCTTGTATGCTACGTCTGTTTTGTAAAATACCTTTAGCTATTTTCCTGACACATTTACCGTTCCTCTTTGACATTGTGGTTTCTAGAGTTGGGCAGGAGGTGGAATTATCTCAAGACTCAAATCGTACACCTTTCCAAAGGCTGGCAGCAAAAAGGTGCCTCATATAGTCTTTTTAGGTTTTTGACTGAGTTAAAAGGACTTACACTTGACTAATTTCACTCTTTATTTTTTCCCCTCTTTTGGCTTGCTGTTACTAAATGTGTGTCTTGGCTACTAACAATGAAATTGTGAAGATTTTATAAGCTTTCTGCTTCTTTCCTAATCATCTGCATAATTATGGCCTTCATTTTATAACTAAAGCAATGGGTTTAAAGAAGTTTTAAAAATTGAGGGACTATTTTTAATTCATTTCTCACATCCCAAATTATTTGTGCAGATCTCAACATGTCTGCAAATAAAATGTAAGTGATGTTTTCCAAAAAAACAGTCATTTATAGCAAAACAAAATGATGTTTCTACTCTGAACTATCATTCCTAATCAGAAAATTGGCTTGCTTACACAATTATGCTGTTACTGAGCACTTTTAGGGAACAATTTGTTAATAACAACCACAAAATATATTCTTACAGAACCTGTGTGCACAAATCTTGTTATGCATTGATGTTAATTACATTTGGGCAGGTGTAAGATGTCACAAGACTAAGCAGAATGGGAAAGGTGGTAAGATGTCAGGGAGTCAAGGGGAACCCAGGCCTACACTAATGAAAATGCTGTTGCATGGCCAGAAAATTGTGCTGTCCAGTAATTGATGTAGTTGTGAAGCATGTAGTTATGAGCTTTGTTTGCACGCTGAGAATAACATATGTGTCCCTGTTGCACCCATGAGTCTCTTGTTTTGTTTATTTATTTATTTCCAGTTGCTCTTTGACAAAAATGAGCAGACATAAAAAGCCCTAAAGGTACACTGCTGTTCAGAGTGAAAAACTATCTTTGACATACACTGTATTTGATAATCCTGGTAAATAACAATTATTCTTTTTTATAACTTCAGTTCACTTTTGTACTGAAGTTCCCATAGCTGTTTTCATCTTGCATATACTTGCAAGACCCACATCTCGTTTTTAATGTGCTGTCATCCTCTACAAGTACATATACGGTGTCAGGACATATTCTAAAACCATCTGAAAAAAAAAATTCCACATTAGACAAGAGAAGTATTTTTTTTTTGTTCAGAAAAGTGACTGTGGGGTGTAAATTTTCTAGACATGGCTTTAGTCACTCTGCTGTCTGTTCGTCTGGTAGAACCTGTGCTTCTCTCTGGTTGCTTTCTGCAGTCAAATACCCATTTCCTGCCTTCTGGGAATCATACACAGAGTACAGACTGAAGCATATTAGCAGAGAAAGACCAATCATTTAAGAAAATAATTTCAGAAATCTGATTTGATCATCATTTATGTGTATTTAATCCTGAATACTCAAACCCACAAATTTCATCATGCTGCCAAATTTTAAACTCCAAACAAAAGTTCAGCTCTGAACATTTCCAAGATTTATCATCCATTAACCCAACATGCAGAATTTACTTTAGACCTCATTAACTAAGGAGTTACTTCTCTTAAGTCAAAAATTTTCAGACAATAAAATGGAAAGTTTTCACTCTTATATTTATTCAGTCTTAGAAATTATTGAGTTTTTTTAAATTTTCACAAACTGGTTATGTGTATATAATTTAGCACTCAGATCAAAATTTTTAAAGCTATTTTACTCAATAATGTAAAATTGGCAATTTAGATGACAATTTAAATGAAGTCGTGCCACCTAGTGGCGACTAAGGTGTCTTCACCAAAGCTCGTTGAGGATTTGGCTAATAAGGTCTTTGCCGTGCAGTATTTAGCTATTCAGTTTGGTTTTGCCAAATAAGATGACTTTATAGCCCTGCATATACATTAGTGTTTTTGCAAATCTGAATTATTAACCTGAAATCTCACTTGCTATACTGATTGCCTTCATAAGTATATTCTTTACTATAAAATTATAGTCTTTACTATAAAAATCAGACTTAAGAGTACTTCAAGTCGTTTCATTCATATTTTAAAGAAAACAGTAAGCGTGTTTTGTTCTCATTACATGAACTAGATGCTGTCAAACTTGCTTAGAGCTTATCCTACTAAGGCCTTATCCATGCATAGAAAGTGGTATTCCTTTTACTAGAAAGATACCTTTGAGACAATGCAAACGCTCTGCCTCCTGCTTTCCTCTTATTGTGGATGTAGCTATATTACTATAAAAGTGCCACACTAGTATAGGCAGTCCCTAATAAGGGGAAGAACGGCACATTTAGATTAGCTTAACTATGGGTACATGAGAAGTTTAACCAATGAAAATTAAACCGTAGCAGAAGAAAAAAAATATGTTGATATGAAACCAGGATGGGCTTACAACAGCCTTCTACTATGAGAGCATGAAATGACAGCCTGCCTCACAGTTTACAAGTGTACAATACTGCAGGGTGTCCCACAGTACAAACCTTTTTTAACAGGCTCCTCTAGTGGGCTCTTTGCTTGTATTCCTTTTCACTGGATGAGCAAATGCATGGTCATTTTGCCCGTTCTCTGCTTCTTATAAGAATACAAGGAGTAGTCTCCTAACCTATAGCTTGGTTGTATTAAGACAAAGCTCCCTTTGTCAGAAAAAGATCTGCAGAATTAAGCTTGCTGTTTTTAAAGTGTAGGGCAGAAAGGACTCTGGATTTAAACAATAGTTAAATACAAAGGAAATTTTACTGTAATATTATCCAGACATGCAATGATACATATCTCCTGCACCATTTCTTGTCAGCCTCGCTTGACTTCAAGAGAAAAATTCCAGCCTTTCTGCTAGAAAATCCTAATGAAAGGCATGCAGGGTGCTACATGCCACGAATACGTAACTGGCAGAACTGAAGAAAAATGTTTGAGGTTTTCTGAGAGCTGCACAATATTCTGAAGTTACTAATATGAGCTGTAAAGGTGACTGTCAAACATCAAATTGCAGTTCAACCAGAAATATTAATGAAAAAGCCATTGTTAAGCTGTTTAATCAAACTGCAACAATGGGGAATATCACTCCACACATACCTATGTATTAGTTAACTAAGCTAACACTAATGATATGTAAGACTTTATCACCCATGTTAAACATGAGCAGGTCTCTGAGAAAGAGAACTCGCTTTGTTAGATTTGGTGTCACTGTGTCATTTCCAAGTCACAGCTGCAGTTTTATTCACAAGCACAGGAGTGATGCACTCATTTTTTTTTTAAATGCAGTTCCTGACAAGAGCATCAAATCCTTTCTGATTCTTTTATTTTGTTCTTGAATTGCAAAGAGCAGAAACATCTCTGTATGTCTCATTTGAGAAGTCAGCTATGTCATGGCCAGAGCTAGATTTTTACCAGCTGTTCTGCACTGGTGAGTGGATTCTTGAGATGTATGAATTTGATGTATGTGAATTCTCTTTGGCCTATCCAAAGTATGCCAGTTCATACCCTGAGACCTAGGATCAGGGATATTTAACTACCTCTCTAGTCTGCAGCTAATACTAATCACAAAAGACCTTATACCCTCCACATTTTTTAAAATTTTTGGGGTTATCTAGTACTGGCTGAGTACTTCTTCAATGTTTCTGCCCTGTTATTCAGTAGCAATCAGATGAAGCTTACTTATCAGACATACACAAGTCGTTGCAGCTGAATTGGTAGTTTCCATCATTGTGATTCAGCCTGCTGGGTTATATTGCCACCAAAAAAGCATCACTTCTTCAAACAGTAAGTTCAAGTCCATTTGAAGTCTTGAGCTTATCATTCTCAAAGGCTTTTCCCAAGGTGTTTGTATCTCGTTTCTCATAAGTTTGGATTTCAATGAGAAAAAGTGGTACACAATCTTTTTACTCATCTGAAAACAAGGAAGATCTGCTGAAGTTGTACCTTTCTGTGGACTGAATTTGTATTCCTGATTATGTAACAGCAACTACACAAATTTTGTCCAACGCTTGACTGTTGTGGAAAGAAAGAAAACGAAGCTGCTATGGTTCATTGGTTAGTTTGGAGCTACAGCTACACCTGTGTGACTTTACCTAATTGTGACTACAGAATAGTTTTCAATGTTTTAAGTGAGTGGTGTGCTGTGGGACATTTCAAAGCTTGGGTTCAGATATTCCTATCATACTTTTGAGTGCACAGTTGAAGTACTCCCCACAGTGAACTGAAGACAATTAACACTCTTATCAAAGCTTTCAAAAAACAAAGGAGACTCAGAGCAATACAGTCTCTTCTAGATGTCATTTTCTGAACACTTTGCATGTCTATCAGAAGAAATTATTTTAAGGATGAAGTACACAAAAGGTATCTGTTGAAACTGTGATTCTATCGTTCCTAAATATTTCAGAACTTTCCTTCCAGTATCTTGGAAACTGCCACTGAAGACTCAGCATCTCAGTCCCTTTCTTAGGTAGTCACCATATTTTTATCTTTTTTTTCCCCACTCTACTTTTGGACCCCTTGGCCAAGAAGTGTTAACCAGAGGCTTACATAATATCCATGCAATGGGGTAATTTGCACCTGCTTCCTTTGTACTTGTATCTGTCTAGCAAAAGGTATTAATGTCAGCCCATATTGCTTTGTATCCATTAGGTTAATTGATTCCAATTACCTTTGGAACGTTAAATTGTCTCCCTTTTAAAGTATAAATACCGTTAAGGTAGGAAGCAAGAATACATCCAGGAAGCTATCCAGTGGAACTATAATCAGTTCTTAGTAGTATTACTGAATGGGTCATAGTAACTAGCAATAAGATAAAAAACGCTAAGTATTCTTGATGTGTTCTGAAGCAATACAGGATATATGAAATGCACAAACTAAAATCACTGTGGTCTCAGTAAGTATAATTCCATCTCATTTGGTTTTGGTTTGCAAAAGATGATCGATATTTTTGACTGCACATAAGCATTTTCCTATACATCCTGTTCACAGTGAAACTGCCAGCCCATCACTTGAGAGGTTTGGGATTGAGTTCCAATCTCAGTGAGGTTTTTTTGGATCAGTGAATGGCCTGTGTGTGAAAGAGAGTGATACAGGTCTTGGAAATACAGTTCTTAACTTGCAGACCTGGCAAAGTGTACCAGACTAGAAAAACAAAATTAGAGCTGAGGATCTTGTTTTATACCATTCATTTGCCTCCTCGTTCTTGAGATTGGCAGGTCAGTTTGGTCCCTCACCTGTCTCAGAACTATCTCAGGGCTCTTTTGGCTTGCCCTGACAGCAAGCGACCCTTCAACACTGTTCCACAAGACTGAGCAATTCAAGTCAGAAACATTAACCTTGCCATCCCTGATGCCACCATGCTTATCCTACTAGGCCATAATCTTGCCGAGTGTTGGCCTCTGACTTGGGGTTTGCTGTAAAATCTATATAGTGAAACCTTTCGTGCTTCATCCACTGAGGCAGATCACTTCATTAGAATTTAGAGGTCTGTACCACCTGGACCAGGTATTTTCCCTAGAAAATGGGAGTTCCAGGTGATAAAACTTCTGTTGCACCAAATAATTCACTCCTGGATGTTTCTCAAGCTCTGTTTCTCTTTACTTGAAAATGACAACTGTTTCAGGCAGGAACTTATGCTGCTGAAAGCTTCAGTTATTAAAAAGAAGAATTATGTACTCAAGTATTTGCAAAGTAGCCCTATCCAGTGTTTTGCAAGTACAATATACCTTGGTTTCCTATTCAAGCTGAGCAAATTTGTGGTGTTGTTTGAATTTTTGGTTTTAAAACATTCTCTTAGGAGGGTGAGGTCAATCATGAGTAGAGTAAAAATTCTACATTTAGAAAAAAAAGGGACAAAACTCAGAAATAAGTTCTGTAATTCCTTGGTCCTGACAGTTCACAGACAGAAGAGAGCACACTGTAAGTTTCTCTCATCTATACTTTATCATGCCAGACTCATCCTTCAGCCGAGGAGCTCCAGAACATACCATATTTCTGCTGGGATGGTTTGTGTGCTCCATAGTATTCTCTGACAAAGAGTAAAGGCAGAGGGATTGTATTTGAACCAGATGTTCAAGTATAATAAGAATTAGGTCACTTTCTCCCTCCTCAGAGCAGACACGCTGGCCTAGTGTAAGGTCCATGATGTCTGTCCATGATGTTACACAAGCCTATTAAAATAATTACTTTTTACCCCAGTTTCTTCCAAGTGGAGTCACTCTGTAATATCCACAAGAGAAAGAGGGAAGTATCTTTTTTTTAATTTGTTCTAGGAATTTCTCTATGGCCTAGGTATGGAGAGAGGTAACTTGGAGAGGGAGGAAGGACAGATTAAAGAGAAATCCTTATGACTACTTGTGTTACAAGGCAGATTTGAAAAGAGCATGTAAATTTAATATCTGCAGAATAAGATTTGTGCATGACCCATTCCAGTTAATTCTCTCAGATTAAATGCTCTGAAATATTTGCAATAACTTTTTATGCTTTAGCAGTGTATGTTTCATTCGACCTGCATATTTACTCAAGCAATAACCTCCAGAATGTAATAAACTTTGTTGAAACTCTTTCTCACTTTCTGATTCTCACCTTTGTGTCTCTTGCAATCATTATGCCATAATCCTTGGGGAAAAAAAATGCTTTTAACTTACCTATTCACTGCTAAACAAAAACTCTGTTTATGTGCCACAGCTTCAGCCATCTATTGGTCACGCACCTGATGAAGCACCTTTTAATCCTTACGTGCTGCAAAGGAAGAGAGGTCTTACAGGAGCAGAAAGAGGTAAGCAGAGTAATTTATGTCATTAATACAATTTCCTTCTTTATGCCAGAGGTCTGTCCTCAACCCATATTTTTTTCTTGCGTGTTTCACACCATGTTGTGTATTGGTATGGCCACTGTCATAGCTCAAGCCTGGTAGCTGAAACTGCCAGACGTCACCATCTGTAATAAAAGTCATATAGCAGAAATCCCTTTTTCCATGTTGAAGTGAAAGGTTATTCCTTTCTTGACTCTAAAAGCTGCATCCTTGTACTTCATAAAAAGAATTGTACCCTGTTGCTTCCACAGTGCCAAATTGCTGCTCAGGCTTTCTGTAAAATGCAATTAAAGATGAGTGCCTAAGAATGACCTACATATAAGGCAGCATTCTGAGTGAAGAATTGTCTGAGGTAACTAATGGGACATACTAAGGAGAAGGGCCAGCCTTTAACCCTCCTTCTCTCAAGGAACCTCCTGGTTTCACATTACACAGATGCTCAATAGTTAAAAGTGTGCCACCAGGTGGACATCACTCTCTTTTGGGGTGTTCTAAAGTGCCTGTAGCCGAACTGCACGTGGTTTCTTGGTAATGCCCTCGTAAGCCAAACACACTGATGATCCTGAACATAGAAAGGGTGAATACAGTAGCTGTGACAGCAAAAATGTCTCACATAATGACTAATTTTTTCATTGATTGAGCTGCAGGTGATCAGAGAGAGGCCTTACCCATGGATACTGAGGTCTACGAAAGTCCATATGCTGATCCAGATGAAATGAAACCAAAAAATGTCACTCTTGACAGGAAATTGTTAACCTTGGAGGAAGGAGAACTTGGCTCTGGAAATTTTGGTACTGTAAAGAAAGGGTTCTATAAGATGAAAAAGTAAGTGTTGCCTTCTGATTTCATGGAGTCTAATATGTAAAAGATGTAGCCTTTATTTTTCGGAGCAGCAGTAATCTTTGCATGTCATTTAGGGTGACAGACTGTACCTAAGTAATTTGGGCCAACATTCACCAGTTTCTCTCTTCATACATGTACTCATACACTCATTTTCTATACACTCATTTTCTTTTCCTCTGTTTGCGGACACCTCTTTGCCTGCAGCATAGTCACCTCCCAGCCATTATTTATGTCTGTAAAGTGGGGAAGTGCCCCGTATGACTATTTTCTCTCCTGTCAGGGCTAGTAGAGTGGGAAGTCAGCTGCCTTCCTCCATAGTTTGTGTAGGCAGTCATGCTATTCAGTATTTCCCACCAGCACAACCTCTCCTTGAGAAATAGTGTGGAGTGCCATGGACAGCTTACCTGTAGCAAAGAGATTTTCACCTAAAATGAGTACCATAAATACATGTTTCATGAAGCTGGAATGTTGATTTTCAAGAAGACAGAACATGTCGTGACCTCTTTTGTCGTGTAACTGCAGCAGGAACAGACCCTGTTTAGACTGGCAGAAGTGTAAGCACCTGACCATGCATTTTCATAGTAAAATCTTATCAACATGTTGTTTAAGTGCATGGGCTGATTATATATAAGCTTTCACCACTTGAAGCTGGAGACATTTCTTTAACCAAGGTTTTCAGAGCCAGGAAGGATTTTTCTTTTTCCATTGCAGTCTTGAGGGGATTTGAAGGGCTCTGGTCCCAGTTTGTGTATTTGCTAATCTTGTTTCACACTTGAGCCCTGTTGATCTTATCCGTCACTCTTTCAATTAGTTGTATGAGCTGAAGGTTGCAGGAGTAGGCTTAGTTTCTCAGGATTTCGGAGCACTGCCTTGCGGTTGTGCAATGCTGCATGTTCTAGTCTCACCCCCAAAATACCTCAGTGCTTGGAAAGATCTTTGTAGCTTTTCTTGCCAGAATGGGCAGGAAAATTTTGTCCAGTACATCTGTTTTCAGGCTTGTTAAGACGTTTTTATGACTATTTATGGTTTTCTCAGGTTCTTCCCGTTCTCTCTTTTTTGTTTAGATGCCTTCTGAGCATTTGATAAAGAGATGTTCCTGTTACAGGGTTTTTTCCCCTCTGAATGTCATTTCTATCTTTTGTCACAGTTTGTACTATGTGCACAGAAACATCAGATGGAGATTGTGTGCATTTGCACACAGATTTTTCAGCAACTAATCCCACAACTGGATTCTTTTTTGTAGGGGTGCCAAGCCAGTGGCTGTAAAAATTCTTAAGAATGAGAGTAACGACCCAGCTGTAAAGGATGAATTACTGAGAGAAGCAAATGTAATGCAGCAGCTGGATAACCCATATATTGTCCGAATGATAGGCATATGTGAAGCTGAGGCCTGGATGTTAGTAATGGAAATGGCTGAACTTGGGCCATTGAACAAATTTTTGCAAAAAAATAGGTATGTAATCTTTGATTCTGTTTCATAGGATTTACCCAAAGAGAAAAAAAAGATACAGGGTTTTTTGTGGTGGGTTTTTTTTTTTTCCTTTAAGGGCAATTTTAAATTGATATGTTGTTAATGTAATAATTAATAATTGTAGTTACTCTTCACTGGGGCATGATTACCTTGTACATATTTCCTAACTGTCAAATATTTCTGGTAAAACAGTGCATTTTGAATAAATGAAAGAATTTTCACATGTCCTTCAATTGCTCATTTATTGATATGATCACATGTCATCTTGCTCAGGACATTCTTACACTGCCTATTCTAATTAAAGCTTAGCTAAACATAAGTGGATCAGGTTCCTAATATGATGTGCGGTGGTTCATAGCAAAGATTTATATTTGAACTCCATGAAAAGTCATGAAAATGAACTCCTGACCTCTTAAAGATTCAATTATGATTTTCAGACATGTCACAGAGAAGAATATAACAGAGCTGGTACATCAGGTTTCCATGGGGATGAAATACCTGGAGGAGAATAACTTTGTTCATAGGGATCTGGCTGCAAGGAATGTGCTGTTAGTCACCCAACATTATGCCAAAATTAGTGACTTTGGACTTTCTAAAGCTCTCAGTGCTGATGAAAATTATTACAAGGTAAGGTTCGCACAAGACATGAAAGCTGTATAGAAGCAGAGCTTAATAAGGTTATTTTCAGTTGAAGTGCAGTTGTTTTTAAAAGTTGAAAATTAGAAATAATATGTATCATCCATTATTTTATAACCTGATAGTAGGTCACTGATTTTCAAAATGCGTGATCAACATTAAGAGACGTGTAAGGAGGAAAAAGCTAGTCCCTTCTATTATTTGCTTAGTTCTTTCATTTACTTCTGGAAAACTTGTCATTAAAAGGTTGAAACTTACGGTGGAAATGAGGTAACCCATTAAATAACCTCTCCTATTTAAGGGAAAATGTCTTTGTTGCAAGTAGGAACTTTTGGACACTCACGGTTTTCAGCATATCCAAGGAAAATTTAGGCTAGCACACTGTGTTATTGACTAATAGAACTGAAATTAGGAAGGTTTTTGAAAGAATACCATTGGTAAATAAACATTTGATCTAAGCAGAATTTGTTTAGCTTGGTTTTAAATTCACTGGATCTCTGTACGGCTAAAGGGACTGAAATAACTGCCACATTTAATAAGGTAAAAATGTCTGCAGGAGACAAAGGCTTTAATCCTGTCTGCATCTTTTTTTCTGATACATTGCTCTTGCAGTTCAAATTATTTCTTCCTTTTGCCTATTCCCTTTCATCAGCTGTTTAAAACTAATAAGCTAGGCCATGAAACACTGCAGAGGAGCAGCAAGCACACACTCCTTTCTGATGACCTTCCCATGGGAATAGTAACGGCTGCCAGAAAAGGCAGGAGCATCTTAAATCACTGCCACTAGCCTACCCAGAGCGGCTTGTCAGAGGTTTGAGAATTGGTATCAAAGGCCCATTCCCTTTACAACTCCCTAAATTGCAGTGGGGTTCTTTCACTAGATCTAGCACTGTACTGGGATAACTTGGCACTTGCATTGTCGTAACACAGTGTTGTGGAATAATTTAATCAAACTTCAGTTTACCGCAAGGCGGTCACTGTGCTTTGAAATGGAGCATCGACTTCAAGTAATAATAAGACTCAGTGTAGCTGGGTGTGTATCTCTTACCATCTGTGGAGAGCCTAGATGAAAAATCCTACTTTTAAAGAACAACTTTAAATGCCACTGAAAACGTGATTCCGGGTCATTTAGCTGAGTTTTGCTTTACCATAGATTTCATTTAAGTGCATTATTTTGAAAGTGGAAGATTAGGAACAATTTTCTAACACCTCTGAAGAAGATGCTACCCATTCTCTCTAATACCAACTACATCAGAAATGTTATAGTACTTAGTACAAATGTGTGCAGATCTGACTTAAGTGGGCTTATATGAATTGTGATGTTCTTTACTACTTACCACTGTCTCTAGCCTGCTTTTTTTCCTTTCTGTTACGACTTATTTTAGGCACAAAGTCATGGAAAATGGCCAGTCAAGTGGTATGCTCCAGAATGCATGAATTTCTACAAATTTTCTAGCAAAAGTGATGTCTGGAGCTTTGGGGTTTTAATGTGGGAAGCTTTCTCTTATGGGCAAAAGCCATATAAGGTGAGTAGTTCTAGCTGGCAATTTTTTTTTCCTGTGAAAATTCAGTGCAAATTTGAACCAATGCCTTTTCCTACCTGAAAAAGGTTATTGCAGGCCAAAGCAGGCCTCAGTGCTCCAGCTGTTGCAACAAATGAGTCAATGGATAGCCCAAAAATCAATTCCAGGCCTCTCTTGTTTATACTAACATGTGTGCTGTAATGACCTGCAACTCAGATGACTGTTCTGGTTACCCTGTTCCAGGGAATGAAAGGTGGTGAAGTTGCACAGATGATTGAAAGAGGAGAACGAATGGAACGTCCTGAAGGCTGTCCAACAGAAGTCTATGATCTAATGAAATTGTGTTGGACATACAAGTGAGTGTGATGTGATGCTATCTCTTGTAATAGAAGTATATTTTATTCTACTTAGTTAATAGCCAGAAAATGAGGTTGGGGGCTGGAGGGAGAAGGGTCTTTCAAAATACATTGTTTCAGCTGGTGTTTAGCTTACAACCAACCTCCAAACTAAGGAATCAGTTGGACTTTCAAGTCAAAATTATTTGAGTTATTGAGTGTACCACAAAAGGCTGATTTTGCACAGCTGATTTTGCTGGAACAGTTATATACAAAAAATAGGGTATCATAAAAAACAAGTAATTCCATAAAAAGGTCAGTCTGATATATTTTGAAAAGCAAGTTTGAAACTAAGCAAATATTTTTGTTTCATTTTGGATTGTATTTTCTTCCATTTTCATTCCCAAGACTTTTTTTTAACTGAAATTTCAAAAAACGTATTGCCAAATTATTCATTCTATTCCTCAATAATTAATTGTTTTGACTTATTTTTCTCTTCTCTCATTTCTGAATATACTCAGATTGAATTCCACATTGACTTCCTATTAGTGACAGGCAAAACATCTTTTCAGATCCTACCTAATATGTCAGAAGCATTTTTTCCAATTGATAACAATTCAGAAGTTAGATTTATGAAATATAGAGAAGAAAAAAAAAGAAAGCCTACTTGATACTTTTTTTAATTCATATATTGCAAAAAATATTTAAAATGTTTAATGATTTATCATTTTAAACTATTTAGTTGAAGTTACTTTTAGCTGTAGGAAGGTCTCCATAAAGCACCCAAAGTCTACTGTAATGTCACTTATTCTTCCAGTTCACCATCTGGAGAATACGTGTCCAACAAAAGTCTCTGGATTCCAGTTAAGGAGCTGTGGTACTTCACTTTTGGGTACCTTGCTTCTTTGTTAGTTTTATTACACCTACTACACTAGAAAGAACATGGAGCCATAAAATAATTTCTGCCTTTGAGTTTGACTCAAAGCATGCTGTAACAGTTCTAGAGAGAATGACATCATTTTTTGTTATAATTAATAAGCATATCATAAAGCGTGATGCTTTTTATTTCTGTGTACTCAAATATCTTTAATATTGGAATGAAAAAGAAAAAGAAAAAAATTAAAAAGAAGGCTCAAGTCAGGCAGAGATATTATCTCAATATGTAACGTATTATTGTAAGGGTTTGTTGTCAGTTTAATTGTGTTCTCCCAAATCAACAGAGTTGCAGATACAGAAGAGAGACAGACAGACAGTACAGCCATAAAGTGTATGCGTAGGCTCCTCTCAGTGATGCTAAGCCACTCTGTATGACTTTAGTACCCATTATAAGGCAGATATTGCACAGTAAATATTCTTTTCTCTAGATTATTACTAAAGTAAGTGGAGTAGAAAATGAAATGGAGCTGATTTACCATTTATTTCTTGTAGTACCTTCACCAACCACGAAGTAACAGGCATGATAGTAAATCCTCTGACTGGATGCTCTGTAGTGACATTTACCACTTAGTATTCATTTTGTAGCATCATTTTGGTAGCCTTAAAATATTGTGAGCAGCTTTAAATGAGCTATCAGCAAAGTAAAGCCCCAAGTGTTGCAAGGCCCACTCACCTTTACAGCTGCCTCCTTCCTACACAGTGATACTTGTTGTCTCTCCACAGCGTTGATGACCGACCAGGATTCGCTGCAGTCGAGCTGAGATTGCGTAACTACTATTATGATATTTCCCACTAACAGCATGAAGAAAAGCAGCTTCCTCGCCTCCAGCCAGCCACCTCTGAGAAGCAGTTCACTTGCCAAAACCAAGTGACTTTGATTTTTGTACTGCCACTTTCATCCTGCGAAGCTCAGAGCTAAGCCCTGTGTCTGTAGGGTTGCCTTTTCTTGCCTTCTGTGCAATGTCCAGCCCCGAAAAAAGAGTGTTGAAAGTGGAGAGGACCCAGAGTGAGCAGCAAGGACATCAGAGCAGATGCTTATATTTTTGCTACATTCCATTTCACTTTATTTACAGCTTTATTGGCATTACATTTTGCGGTCATGTAACACCTATTTAATGTCTGTCAGCCCTCTTCCTCTCTTGTATTTGAATCCAGATTGAAATTTAGATTCTTGTTATTAATATTCTTAGCCCTCAAATGCATTAAGAGTTGTTCCAGCCTTCCCCCTCCCCAAGTAAGAATAGCATAAACATTTCTCAGTGTGAAGGAGATTCACTGTGAAGGTGTGTCAGTCACTTTGACTGACAGCATGTTTGATTTTACCTCCAAGCCCCTTTAAAACCAAATCATATTCTTCTCAGTAGTAATGTAGGCAGAGGGGAACTGAGAGATGTGAATTTCTAACATCACGTTCTCCTTTAAATGTGACCAACTTCTCTTGTTCCTCATCTCATGTGGAAGCCCAGCTGCCACTCAGGGAGTAATTTTTTTCCTGGTGAAACTTGGGAATTCAGGGGCTTGCTCTCATCCTGGAACAAAAAGTATCAGCACCTAAGACAATAATTCTGGGTTTTAACATAAACTCCACTGCTGCAGTCTTGAAAAGACAGCTGTACAGTGAAAGGTGACGGAGCAGCACATTCCTTTCTCGGTGCTGTTTCAGCCTTCTCCAAAGATATCTTTGCCATGTATCTCTTTGGGTATACCAAAGCTCCTTGTGTTGTGTTTTGAGCAGCAATCATTTCTATCTTTTTTTAAATCTTTCTTGAAAAGCATTTTTGAGAATTCATGACACCTTATCACCTCTAAAGCTAAATTTCACCCCTAGCTCAAATATTTTAAAACAGGCTTATGGACATTGAGTTTGCTTTTGTCCGTACCTGAATGTTAGTATTTGTCCTGTTATTAGTCCCTGTGAGCATCTCAGGAAAAGATATTTGTCTTACCACTCTTTTGTGATGCACCATACTTCTCCATTAATGTGCAAGTATAGCAATGGTAATAACAAATAATGTAATCAACTTCTGGTTCTATTTTTACCCTTATGCTTTGTTTGTCCAGTCTCATTTTAAATACTATAGATATCAAAATTACTATCACTTATTCCTCAAAAGCAGCTACTTTACTGGCATTTACATATATGTCAGGAGTCTACATGCATTGCATCTGCTAGAGATAGAGATTTTAGAAGACAATAAAGAGTAAGATTTAGAGTTAGGTATATTTATTGCATATGGCTGATTAGAACATATGTATTTAATTGTTGTGTGAACAGGGTATTCTTAGAGATGCAGTGATATTTTTTTCTCTAGCAAATGTGAAATCATTTTCATAAAAGAGATGTCTATAAACAAATGTAGAAGTTACTGTATTTTTTTTTCTTTTTACTGTTCATGGTCTACCTTGTGATTTTTGGTAGTTTAATCTTGAGTGTCCAGTGCAAGATACTTCAAAAAGCATGTGCTACTGAAAGAGACTGAGTACAACAGACCATGTTTCAAATGTGACCAAATGTGACTTATATTGAAGATGATTTATTTTTTGTTTTGTTTTTAAGAAACATTTTTCTACAAGAATAGCTTGTATAGAAGTTAGCCGTAGTTGTATGTAAATATTTTGTTGCTTTAAACCTGTTGCAGAGAAATTGTTAGCTCTACATGTGCAATTAGTACATTCATGGGGATATTAGTTATAAACAAATTGCACAAATCTCTTTTAGCCAGCAAGTGACAGTACTCAGTTTCTGTGTGAGAGAGAGAGATACATATATAGGTATATATCTATCTCTCTCTTAAAAAGTGTTATCTGATACAACAAAAGTGGAGGAATGTTTCACCCCCTCTCTTCTGAGTGAATGTCACTTTCTGGTGTTACTTGATTATTTTTAACTTCATTGTTATGTAATAAAAGTTTACAATGAAAATATAAAGTATTGTGAAACAAATGGATTAGGTTTTAAAATTAAAATTAAAGACACTGTTTTACAAAGTATGCTCTTTTAACAAGAATCCTTTAAGTGCTTTCTAAAAAATGCTCATGCTGTGCAGAGCATATATATTTACTGAATTACTGTGATTGTTGTGGAAGATTGAGATTCCCCTATTGACACTGAAAGGTACCTGACACAACGGATAAGCCCACTGAAGCCTGGGCTGCTTTTGGAGCTATTCAAGACTAGCAGGAAAATCTCTGAAAATACGCATGTTGTTTTTACACCGAAGCCTTTCCAAGATACTGCTTTTCAACAATAACTGTGCTGAATCTGGTGGTTGGAGGTGTGAAGAGTCAGTCCAGCTTATCAGCTAACCAAGAATGTCTGCATTACAGCTGTCAGCTATGCAGGGTTTAAGGCACATTATACCACATAGGGCCTCCCTCAACGGCACAGGCAACCGTTCTAGGTATTCTGAAATAATGACAGAGAGATCTTAGTCTTTCATGTAGCTTTTACTGCAAGCTCAGGTCCTCAGGAAAGTAAAGGCTGGATGGGACTGGATGTAAATCTGAGTAATAAACACCAAAGGCGAAAAGGTAGGCAACTCTTCAAGCAGATATTTACCTTTGGGGGGCATCAGTCAGTGACTGACTTACACTGTACTGCTGTGGTTGTTTTCCTGCATAGCGTATCTGCCCTAATTATTCCACCTTTCCACTTGTGGGATTGCACCATTAACTGATATGAAGGGGCTTTTGTCTTTTGGTTGTCTTTATTTTTAGATTGACTCATATCGGAAAAGCCATTTGGCAGTGTAGCCCCACAAGTAATTGTCACAGCAGAGTTAAGGGGTGGCAAGCTGCAGCATGGAGGAAGGGAGGATGGAGTGAGTGACTCAGAGAAGAAGGAGCAGGTGAGAACATGTTAAGCAGGTTTTTCAGTGAAGGAAAACAGAGTGTAATTACAGCTTTGGTTAGGACTGAAATCTATAAAATCATGGAGTTTTTTCAGAGCATGGGAGGCCGTGGACCTTTTTCCATAAAAACCAACCCAAACTTCTTAAAAAAACCCTGGCGCAGTCTCCACCTGCTTCAAACACTATGCAAAAATGGGGCTTTTCGTGAGACAATGAAAAAGACCCATGATTTTCTATCCCTGAAATCACCACAGTCAGCACTGCTGGTTTGATAAAGAGCCCATCAGAGAGTGGGCTGCGGAGTATGTTGTGGGTCGAGGCAGTGGTGTGGCCTGGCCCTGGCAGGAGGTGGCAATACTTGAACGCTGTTGGAGCGATGCACTTGTCCCAGCATTTCTGGCACTCTCCCTGCCACCCCGCCTCTTGCTGTGCCTCTGCAGTACATAGGGACGTGTTCGTCCCTTTGCTGCTTGCTGCGAACAAGAGTTCCATGTGAGCACAAACCGTCAATGATTTATATCACAAATGGTTAGCTGTGGATGATTAACGAAGACTTCTGAGACTCTGTGTCCCTTTGTCTTTTAAGTGATACCAGCAGTCAGGGATTACAGGCAGAAAGATAGAGAACATGTCCCACACAAGCATAGAAGGGAGTGAGGGTGGCATCTGAGTTCAATAGTGCAGGGGAACATTAAGCCAGCAGCTATAATTACCAGCACTAGGTTTAGTGAGGACAGAAAGCCTGTGGGTCATGCAGAAAAAGAAGAAAAAGGAAAAAACAGAGAGGAAAAAAATGCACCCTCTGACTCTTGACAGTGGAAAAAAACCAATATTGGACTTAAAGCGATCCCAGATTTGGATGTAAAAGAGACACTTCAAGAGTCAGTATCGCCGTTGCTCAGCAGCGTGTCCCAGTGCTACACGTCATGGTGTGACGTGAGACAGGGACACAACTGCATCTGGACCCCGTCTCTCTCTGCTAGGGCAGCTTGTGGGCCCAGTGGTAGCGGGGAGTGGGTGTAGAGCTCATGGGCAACACTCAACAGCCAAATGCCTCCTGCTGTAGCTACAGGCAGCTGGGGGCTGAGATGCAAACCCCTTTACTGGGGCAGCTCAGTAACCTGTGAAGGTTTGCATCTGGAAAAGGAGGGGAGACATGAGGGTGGATCATGCAGTGACTATCAGAAATACAAAGTGTGTTGGGAAAGAAATTGTCTCCTGTTAGGTTGATTAATAATGCTGGAAAAAAGAGACAAGCCTGTGGCACACAGGTCTTCCTTCAGGCTTGTATTACACCGTGGATTCCTGTGAAGCAGCAGAGTGATGTAGCACAAACCCAACTGAAAACAACAGCCCTCCAACCACCCAGAGCTCTCTGAAGGCAGGCTAGCACTGTGCATCAACCTGCAAATGGGTATTTTTTTTCTTTTCTGTCATATATGTGTTAATTGAGGTGAATACCCACTGGGTTCCTTGGCATATAATTAACTCTGCTCTCAGTATTACCACTGCTTCCCTGAGGCAGTGGAGATGTGCACATTTCTTAATAACCAGAGAAGCAGAGGAAACAAGGGGCAGCTGTGAAAAGCATTACACTGCTGTCCATTAAAATTCGTAACTTCAAATGTAAATAACACCTGGATGACCAGTCCAGTATAAACCTGCACAGATCCTTCATTCCCCTCATCTGTCCACCATCACAAGAAGGGCCAGAAGGAGGATCCGGGGAACTACAGGTCTGTCAGCCTGACCTCAGTGCCGGGAAAGGTGATGGAACAAATCATCCTGAGTGAGATCACAAGGCATGTGAAGGACAATCAGGGGATCAGGACTAGTCAGCATGGGTTCATGAAAGGCAGGTCCTGCTTGACCAACCTGATCTCCTTCTATGACCAAGTGACTCGCTTGGTAGATGAGGGAAAGCCTGTAGATGTGGTCTACCTGG